AGAAGAAGAAAAAAACCAAGTAATTATCAAAACTGTTTCGTCCTCTTGAGATGTCAAGTGCTCGTTTAATTTAATTATAGATTCTTAAACTTTTGGAGTAATATATGACATACATTATGCGTGCTAATCTTAAATTTATAAACTTATTAAATTTCTAGATACTTTCTTAAAATGATCGAGGAATAAATAAATGAATCTATAGACTATAGAGGGTATATATATAAGAAGGCCCTTTTAATTTTGGGTCAATTATAAAAAATGTTATTTTTTGTGTGCATATTTGCAAAAATGTCATTTAAAGATGTCTATTTGTAAAAATGCCACTAATTATAGATTTATAAAACCTATATCTTAAAATTATAAACCCTAACAAATGTTTTGATCTCTAAAATTCCCTAAACTCTCATAATTAAATCCTAATAGAACATAATTAACCTAAACCTAAATAATAAAAAAAAATGATTTTAAAAAAATGATTGTAAAAATTATCTTTAATTTTTCCTGATGACATCAGTTACTTAGCTTTCAAACTAACTTTAGTCAAACGCTTGCTTTTAATTATTATCTCCCATCTTAAACCAACAAAAAACATATTTGTCTTCCATCCAAAATTTTTTGTTTCTTTCCAATTTTTTGTCAAGTTTCTTCATAAAATCTTGGTTCTCACTATGATAATTAGTATGTATCATGTTATGTTAAACACATTTTATTAAAACATTACGATACAACGTACGTTTCCAATATTACCTAATTATTTTAGTGATTTTTTTTTCTTTTTGATAAAAAGGATAATTATTTTAGCTATTATTAAGTTTTATACGTTTCTAAATCAATATCATTTAGCAATGAGCATATTTTCTCTTAGTAAATTTGTTCATCCCAACTAAATTTGTTCATCTCATTTACATATTATTTTAGTTTTTTCCATACTTTTGATGTAGATCTCTAGAGATAATGTTTTTTCGTTTTGTTTTGGATTCAATTCTATTAAATAATAAATATTATCGACAATAAATCATATCTGAATAATTGTGAACCATGGTAATCAAATTGAATTATGATGGTAATCAAATTGAACTTTAATATCATGTTACTTCTTTTTGAATATATAATTTAGAAACAACAAGCGATAAAATGGACCAACCCATATTGTTTACATATTCGTACTTTGTCACTTTATACTTCCCGTATGAAATCTTGAAGAGTTATAAAATCCAATAATTGAGAAAGCAGCAAATGGTGAAGTGGGCCAAGTTCTAGCAGAAAAGGCAGCCATCATAGGTGACCATAATATTGGGCAGCTCGTAATTTTGGACTCTCTTATGATATGATTTGACCCTCACTTTCGCATTTCCAATGTGATTTTCAAACACACATCCTATATATAGGCTTAGATTGGTAACTTAATTTGCAAACGACGTTAGTTCAACCGATTGTTTGTTACCAATCAAATGGTCGTTTGAAACGGACGATTGGAAAACGAAGTTTCAAACGAACGTTTGATAAAAAAGTCGTTTGAA